GTCTACCCCTCCCATCCTTTTTTTATGGTCTACTATCTCTTATCTCTTTTAGGTATATAAAGCATTCTATAACCTTCCGGTTATAATAATGAATCAAACAAATAAGTTTCATTAATATAGGCAAAGTAGTTCTCGATATTTTTGTTAACATACTAACAAACGATAGTGGCGGAAATCGGAAGTTAAAATCGTCTAAAATCACATCCTCGACAAAAATACTATTACTTTATTTGATGAGTCTATAATATTGGTATTTAAAACCTGTTATTTTCTGTGAAAATAAGAAATATTATCATAAAAAAGGTGAGTGAAGGGATTGAAAGTTGAAAAGCCCAAAAGGCACATTCTTATACTAAAACCAAGTTTATGCTAAACTTTACTCCCCACCTGGATTCATTTAAGGGTTCTTAGAGGTTTATAAAGCAATAAAACCTCCTACAACAACATGATGAAATTCATAGTCATTCAACCAAAATTATATTACTTTAATCAAACAAAAAAAAAAAACTCTTTTTTTCAAGTTTGAGCTGATTTGGTCTAGAGGAGCAATTTAAAATTTAAAATTTGGGTATATTATTGTGTTGGTTAATTATTTATATTTTAATAAAATAGACTACGACAGAAATAGAAACAGATTATTGATAAAGAAATAAGTAATCAAAAAATATAATTTTAAATAGATATATGATACTGAATATTTTGTCATGGTGCCCTTTAGAAATTAAATTAAAACCGCAAAATACGTTAATACGAAATATAATTTAGTTTGAGTCATCATTTTTTTTTTTTAATAAATATTATGAAATAACATATATGGGATTATAATGCCAATTGAAAAATCTATCCAATGTCATTTCTATAGTAATTTCGTCGAATTTTTTTTCAATTTTTTAATTTAATAATAATATTCTACAGAAAAAAAAACAGAAAATAATATTTATCTATCAAAATGAGTTTTGATATTATCAGTGAAATAAAATAAAAACATTAAATATAACATAGTAACCAAATAACCTAAATATAGATATAAGCCTTTGGATATAAATTTTTCCTAAGACCATAGTTTTGTTATATTTTACTTGATTGATAATAAATCTATAGAATATGCAATATGCATAGGTACTTATGAATGTAACATTTTATTTGTTCTTTGTTTGTTATTTTATAAAACACGATGGTTTTTATTTTTGTTTTGAATAGGTACACGAGATTATTATTAATTTATAACAAAGAGAGTTTTTTTATTCAACAAAAAAAAAGTGGCAACCCCGAAATTAAGCTTTTCATAGATAAGAACAACTATGGACCTGCGTTAATTAAGGGCCACCGTCGGTGTTTCTGTTAATTATTATTATTTTTTTTTTTTACAGTCCATTTGAAACTCACAGGCAAAAAAACTGCGTCCCTGTAACTTAATTTTAACCTTTGAAACACACACACAAACGAAAGCCACAGCCGGAAACTGCGCTGTAATGAAATAATAAATTTATATATAAAACTTCCTTTACTGCCCTCACTTAACCAAGTATAAATAACAGTGAACTGAGCTGTAATGAATTTAGGGCCAATTTTACTCATTTCTAGTGCTGAAATTAATTTTACGAAGTCGACAAAAACAGTAGTTTTACTAAATTTTTACTAAAAACGATTATACTTTATAAGGGTTACAACACTTATTTATAGTAGATTCTAATAATGTATTAATTAAATGTTTCCGGTTTTTCACATTGTACAAAAAGCTGAGGAATATTTTAACAATATTTATTAAAAGAAAAATATGATTATCCTTCAACAAACACAAAATTACACAACCAAATCGGAAAATATATGTTTATGTATCGCGAATACATTCTATTGATCGGTTGCAATCAATAATTAAATTCGAAAAAGAGCAAAAAAGAAAATCCCACAAAATTAAAATTAAATAATTGAAGTAATAAATAAGTACTGTAATTATTTGTAATCTTGCTTATAACTGTAAATCAGATACATTGTGTTTATTCAATATGACAAAAAAAAATAAATAAAAAAAAAAATCAAATATAAATGTGTACTTATGCAGTATTTTTATTTTGTAAACAACAGCAACGCCTAACGTGCCTAAATACCTCCATAAATATATAGGGTAATAACATGTGTAGTACTCAGTGTTTGAAACGTTCACTAAAACAATGAATTCGTTCACGTTAACGTTCATTTTTAAAAAATAATACGTTCACGTTCGTTGAAAAATGAACGCGTTCAATGTTATCGGAAAATCCTTAGATATTAAAAATTAGTATTATGGACTTTATCTTCTAAGACCGTATTCCGGAGTGATGAGAAAACAAATTCAAAACAATTTATATTACATATTATTATTATACGAGTAATACTATTGTTGTTTTGAAGTTTTGAAACGGAGTTTTCGTGGGGAAGGAAATACTGGCATTAAATAAAAAGAGATAAATTAAATCACACTCATAACACTCATTCACACGGCATATATTTTATAGTTCTTCCCTATACATCCTTCATTTTTCTTTATAGTTCAGAAGAAGGCCGCTAAATTCGTTGCGGATCTTGTAGTCTCCTCACTTAGATATTCCCCGTCTCAAAAGTCAATTGCACCCACCATAGACAATAAATTAATGGATTAGCCATAATATCCTATAATGGGCTTATGATAGCCCATGATAGGCAATAATTTTTAGTTCTTAAATGATAAAAAAAGACGCCATTTTTTTCGTTTTCATGACACAAATATTTTGGAGTTATATATTAATGCATACCATACTTATAACTATACTTACATTATAACTGTATAAGTTAAGAAAAAATATAACTGATCTTAAACCGTAGATATTATAATATCTGTTTTAAGTATAGATGATAAAGGATAGTTCCGGATAGTACAGATGAGAATGATAACTAATCTTATCATAAATTACGGTAACGCTAGAAATGGTTTAATGGTCGTTCTCAGTTGGTCATCATTCCGGGCTGCGAACCTCTTTTGAGATTAGTATAAGCATGTCCTATAAAGGTACATTATTTTGTTGTCTATGACCATTACCAAATGCCTGCCATGTCGCTGCTAGTCTATATTATCTTAGTTCATGGTTGTAATACTATATTATTAGTCATCATTGTTAATATTATTATGAAATTTTTTTTTTTTTTCATCAAATGAACGTTAAATTGAAAAAAAAATCATTTACGTTCATGTATTAATTAAACGCGTTCAAATATCCATCAATTGAATTGAACGCATTTTTTCCAAACCCCGAGTATACTAATCGGTTTTTAGTAAAACACAAAATTTAAACTAAAATAATTTTTGGCACTGATGGGTTAACAGTTCATCAAAAAATACCTTGTAAACTGTAGTCTTTTTAAAGCACTGCGTTTCACTCTTTCTTTGAAAGGGTGCAGAGGTTATAAGGGTTAATTTGACAACCTCTTTACGTTTTATATCTCATGTGTAAATTAATAGAGAAGAAAACACTGCATTAGGTACTGAAGTAAGTCCTTTTTAGCCATTGTTTTTATCTCAGAAAAAAAAAATCACAGACAAATAATTGACTAACTTTTATCTATAAAATATCTTAAGAAAATCACCAAAAAATACCACCTAATACATATAATTACATTAATGTCAATGCAAACAAATATTTTTGTAATTTTTTATTTTTACAGAGAGGTCAAATTTTCTGAGAGTTAATAAAATTTAAAATTATATCTGTAAAAGATTAAAGTTAATATTAATAAAAGAAATAATTAAAGAGCGGATTTTCAGAATACATATATTGAAAATATACATTTTAATATTTTCTTGAAAACCTTAAAAAGATTTTACTGTATTTTTAAACATTTTCAAAAATGTACTTAAAGTATTTAACCTTATACTTATGATAAAATAATTAAAATTAAAATATGAATTCCAAAATATCTTAGTAAAAACCCTGAAAAATCATAAGACGTTTTCAAAATTAAAATCCTTCATATACAATTCCTACAATTTGGTTTAGCTTTTAGATATAAAACATGACATTAGGCCGTAAAGTAGACCGTTACCCTTTCCTCTAAATGGTTATTGGATAGTGGATTAATATAAAATTCTTATCATTATGCTGATCATTAAAATGTAAATAAAAATATTCAAATTTTAGAAAATTGAATAAATCTTGAATAACCATCACCTTACAAATATTTGATTTTTCTAACTATAAAAGTCATAAATATTTTAAATAATAGACGGTATCTATTAATTTGAAATAGAGAAATTAATTAGTTATTGGCAAAGCATATTTAGAGAGGCTTATTACATAAATTCGACATCACATTTTTGAAAGTAAGGTATTTAATCTTTCAGCTCGTTAAGGTTTAAAAGTATAAAGCATTTGGATGAATCTTTGAACACGTCAATTATTATTAACTCCCAAGTGGCCCAAACTTTGTTTTGAAATGATTCAATATGAAATTGCAATAGGGTGGATTTCACCTATATCCTTTCTACGAATCACTCTTCAGTAAATTAACTTTCAGCGCGTCAGAAAGTCTCGTTAATGGATAATGAGTGTCTAACCATGTTAATGGTTTAACACGGCGTTGGTCCATTAGTAGATACATAATGCCATAATGGACAGCTGTGTCAATTATAACGCGGTATACTTATTCAACAACCTAAACCCAAACATTACACAGGTAAATTTTTATTTGTATTAAAATAATTAGAATGCAAATAAAGAATGTAAATTATATGATGTCCACAAACAAATAATGGAAAGTTTTGGGAAAAATAAATTGGTTAATTTGTCAACGGTCAAAATTCCGTTGGATTACAATTATTGATGATAATACCAATAGGTACATTAGTGCCTATACAATATGCCGACATTGAAATTTTTGAAAATTTGGACGCTATACTACTAATGAAAAGAAACATTAACTCTTTTATTCATCTCCGCCGACTTATGGCCACAAATGACGATTTCGTAATTGGCGCAAACCCACCACGCATATAGTAAAATGCAAAATAAGAATCGTTTAAAACAAAAGACGGCAGAAGTGGTAACGGCTGTGCAGTAGCTAATAAGAGAGATTTTAAAGTGGCTAGCTCTTTTATATATAATGTCTTCTCGGTTGAGTTCAAATTCAGCAATGAAGTTTAGACGTACAAAACTGGCGGACCGAAAAGGAACTTGATTACGCGTGCACACCGATAGAAATTCTCACCACTATACGCTATCGTTTCTAAAGTTGTTTCCATATGATAAAATGCTCTTAAAAAGCCAATTCCACTTTCTTCTACCTCTTTACCTTTCAAACCACGAAGCATATTATCCTTCTAGAATTTTTTCAGCATCAGGTTGATTTTGATTGTACGATTAAAATATGGTACTATAGCTAATGCGAAAGTACCATATTGTAATACTATTATCAATTTAAAACCTAGACCCTAGGTGTTGAACGGATACCAAAAGATTTTTACATATGTCAGGGCATCCCCGTCTTCGACTCTCCGTATCTAAGCGTCAAGCCCCTTAACGAATCAAAATAACAGTTTTACTCTGATCGTCCCAATATTCATTTGAAATCTCTTTTAACCAAAACAACGAACAAAATCTATACATGCATACGACATAAGTATCTATACATTTTAAAAGATCAAAAACAGAATAAATTAAGGTTGTCATATTTTTTTCAACCATAGTAAAAGCAGTTTAAATTAACCGGATGTAAATATAATATATAGTATATTGTATTATATTATATTTATACATAATACACCCGTGTATTCGTTTGTGTGTGCATCGAAGCACTTTTGCAAGTTTAATTAGAAAACTTTCGTCGTTCTTATTATTCGGTAAGATTTCGAGAGACAGCTGCAACTGTATAAAAAGAGAACCAAGCAGTGGGCGAGACTTACAAAAATGTAGATGACACAAAATGTGATGAATACATTTCTGTAGAGACAGATGGTCCGAACAAATTAATAATTTACAGCGGGGTTGAGGTGGAAGTCACAGGCGCGAAAGAAGGGTGTAGACAAGATATATATTATTAATGCCACGATAGTCTACGAAGTTCATTCTGTTGACAGCATTAATAATAATATTAAATGTTGGCGTTCTAAAATGGGTAATGCCAATTATCAGATAAATTCAAAACTACCTAAGGTATATTCGGTGGCTTATTTCTACTAAGTAATAATATTGTTATATTATCACACAAAAATACACAATTATATACAATATAATAATATTTACAATAATTAAAAGTACTATAACATCATATATTCAAATAGATTAATTAGATTTCAAATGGTTGTATAATGGTTATTAATTTATTATAAACTTTATCTTATCAAATTATAAAAAACCTATTAATTAATAGAGAATTTTAGAATAGCATTAATTAATTTTATTTATATTATCATTTATGGTGATAAGTTAATCACCAAAAATATGTCGATCGGACAACACAAAGTAATATTCAAAATGTTAATTGGTAAAAATTGTGCAATTTATGTTACAATAAATTCGATTCGCTAAACTTAAAGTTTATAAGAACTTAATTAATTTGTTAATGGTGTAATGAAATTATACAATATATTATAATTTGTACTTAAAATCAAGTTTTGATTTTTAATTATGATTATTAAATCTTTTATTTATATTTATTTATGGGCGTAGGTAGATGAAAAAAAAATTAAATAAATAAATAAAAAAACTAAAACTGCTAATGGGTGCGCCATTATTATAGACGAGAAGATGGGAGGATATAATATATAAAGTTATAAAGTAATTTATATCTGTGACTTTATATTTCTAATGAAAAACCATTCTGAGTGAATTTCGATTATAGATGATTTGTAATACCATAATATTTACGACTTCCTTTAAACTTTAATATTAAGACAATTATAAAAAAAATTACTACATGATAAGTTATACCAGTGATTTCAATTTATAATTAACCTTCTGATAAATTATCATGCATTTCTGGTCATTCTGTTCAGTTAAACAATAATATTCTATTAGTACCTATCTACAAAATAAAAATTACGTAAAAACACGTAAACATAAAATACCTAGAAATATTTCAAAAATCACCAACACTTTTTGAATAGTTATCACGTCTAAAAAAGGAAAATATATGTTTTCTATACAAATTTCAAGTCTCAACGGATATTTTTAAACAAAAAACAACAAAAAAAAAAAAAAAAACATTATTTCTATAAACTTTTCCGTTCTTTCTACATTTTTTTTTTTTCGGTTTTGATCAATTATTGAAAAAAACTAAAAAAAAATAATTAAAGAATTTCTAACACATTTAATAGATTAAAACAAAAGAGGTTTCTAGTTGTTTTTCTATTATAACAATATTTCGGTTAGAAAACATAAAGCGTACACATTTTAAATAATAAAATTCTAACGTTTTAATTTGTTCAGTTTTCATTTTACATATTTTTCCTTTTTTTTCTTATTCTTATGAAAACTATTTAAAAATCAAAAAACAAAAAAATGGCATTGTTATCAATAATTTACTAGATTTAAATTTCAACAAAAAACGTCACTTGATATACTTTGATACAAACAATATTTGTGGTAGCAATAAAATCGGTAACGCTGCAGCACGTGGTAAATATTTACCGTTTTTCCCCTTCAATTGCCCTTAAGTCAGTATGTATTAGTAGGTTCACATTATTAGCAATTTCCGGATGAATCCATTTTCGATTAGGTTCGGTTAAATAACTAGTACTAATACACAAAAATAACCTTCCTAATAATAAACGCAAGGTTAAAATTTGAATAAATATAACTTTACAATTTGTGTATAATTTCTTTTTGTTGTGAATAAAGTTTTGAATATTTATTTTAAAATAAACATGTTAAATAACACAGAGACAAAAAATGTATACAAATATAATATACTTGTATTTAGAGAATTGCATTAAAGAGTTTATATATATATATAAAAAAAAAAAAAAAAAAAAAAAAATAGTTACAACCAACATTTATTTCACAGAGCTTAATACATAAAGAAACAAATTATTGTTTATGGTAGGTAGGTACCTATATACTTTTTGTGATTATCGTGTGGGGTATAAAAACTTCAAAGTTTAAACAAACCACTGCTCGAATATTTGCGAGTTCTGATTAAGTGAAAAACTTTTACTATATTACACAAAAAAAAAAAAAACCGCTAAATATTAACACAAAAACAGCGTTAGCACTTCTAAGGTGGATAAATATATATTTAAAAAAAGCCACGCAAAAAGGAACTTTTTGAATATCGTTATCGCATCATTATTCACGCTTTACGCTCTTCGGATTCGCTGTACACGGTTATTAAATTCGAACGACAGTCTAAACTTTTTCCTTAAACTTTTTTTTCCCCAGCCTCCGCCAATATAGAGTTCACTTGGTGTCACACAATTATCGGTTTAACGGTTCAACGGGTCTCCAGCTCAAATTGAATGGAGAAAAACGGAAAACAATAATAATACAAAATATACGAGAATACCTCAGTTCGTAATGATATGTTAGCAAAGAATTCGAATGAAATAAAAAAATCAAATTACCCTCATATGTGAGTCATTGTAATGAATCCGTAAACACTTCTGCATAATTATTGTGTTAAAGAATAGAAATTATTTCAAAAAATCGTATTCAATCGTACTTAACAAATCATTTGCTGGTAAAAATATTAATTACTGTCTTTGAAAAACAGTCGAAAGATAAATGTGACAAAAATATGTTAAATAAACGTGGCATATAAAACTACAGTATTATATTTACACATGTTTATAAATGTAAAAACTATTAATTATGAACTAAGAAGAAGATAAAAATACAAGATTTCATGTAGCTATTCGTTTTTGAAAAGTATAATGAGCACTTAAATTAAATTTGTACGTAGTAATTATTGGAATTTAAGAATTATGCTAAATGGAAATAACAACAAAAATATTTTGATAACTTCTCATTATACAACTTCAATTTTTTTTTTTTTTTTTGCTCATAATTTATTCAAAATGTATGTACAGTTGTCAAATATAAAAAAAAAAAAAAAACAAGTTTATGCAACATTGATACCCCTGAAAATACAAACCAAACCAAAATAAAACCATATCGTATACTATAATAGCCCCTTGGCAGTTCATAAAATATTATGTATACGAGTATGCCGTTTAAAATGAATATCATAATCTACATAATGAACTTAATTATTACATTATTTGACAATTAAAATTAAAGTCATTTGACTACAGATACCTAATGGAAATAATTTTCACTATTAATTAATTCATTAGTTATTTAATTACTACTAATAGTTAAATAGGTATTTAAAGTATGCTGTTAGATAATAGTAAAATGGCTTACAGTGTATTTTATCCAACACAACGAAATATGTATGTTAAATTGTACTTAGCTAACATTTGTAAAAAATTTTTGAGAGGTATACATTCGCCTTTGTAGATTTTTAAAAAATGGGTTGAAACATGATTATTTTATAGAAATTCAGTTATTATCGAACTGGATTAATCATATCAATTGAATTGGATTTTTCGGAAGGTTGATTGTGTGTTATTGTTTACGTTAAATAGTATTAAACTCTGCCACAAGTATAGCTGATGCACAAAATCGTGCCACTATTTTTTTTTAGCTTCTATATATTATTTTCACAATTTATATTGTTACATTATTTTTAACCAAATTGAAACAAAAAAGTACGGCTCCATCGTGCTTCGTGATTACTCAATACGGCCTAGTTCGAGTCCTTTCAACCATTTATCTTAGATTTAGGTTACCCCGCAACTGTCATCCCTATTCCTAGAGAACTTTAAGATCATCTTGTAAAAAAATCCTTGGTTTGGCATTTAAATAAATAAATAAAAGCAATATCAAAAAGACGGATATACTTCGCACAATGAGTGGGCCATTGTTGTAGGTGAAAATTCGGGAAGGTAGGATATAATAATGATAATAATTTTATTTCCGAAAATTAATTTCCATTTTCAAAATAATAAATTGACAGTGTACTTAAACATGTTGTAAAGGATAATCTATTAATATTAAATAATAAACTAACTTGAATATTTAAATTATCATACAAACCAGCTGACAGCTATTGGTAATTAGAGAGGAATTTAATATATATTTATACGCAACGGTTAATCATTCCTAATGAAAAACGATTTTGAACGGAGTTC